AAGAGCTTGTGTTGGGGGCAGGAGGTGGGGGGAGAGGCCTAAATGAGGAATCATAAAATGATTTGAGTTGGAAGGGACCTTAAAGCTCATTTAGTTCCAACCCCCTGCCATGGGCAGGGGCACCTTCCGCTAGACCAGGTTGCTCTAAGCCCTGTCCAACCTGGCCTTGAACACTGCCAGGGATGGGGCAGCCACAACTTCTCTGGGCAGACTATGCCAGCACCTCGCATCCCTCGCAGGGAAGAACTTCTTCCTAAGATCTCATGTAAATCTCCCCTCTGTCAGTTTGAAGCTGTTCCCCCTTGGCCTATCCCTACAGACCCTTGCAAAAAGACATACTATATTACTACAAATCCAGAATTACCCATCCCACACAGGAAGTAGCTCAGCAGAGCACAGGTCTCACCCCTCAGCCTGCCCACTCAACAGGTGCATTCTGTGACCTCCCTAGCACTGCTGTAGACATCACATGCCATTGCCAACCCTGTTTTCCTTCACAATGCTCCTTTTGAAGCATTTCTGTAGTTCCCTCCACTGTGACCCGTGTGGTGCCACACACCACCTCACAAACCAGGCTGTGAGGGCAGCGCTGTTTGTCACCCATGTCAGCCTGTCCCAGGGCTGACAAGACCCCCAGCACCCTCAGTAGGAAAGGGAACCACCACAGCAACATCTTTGTCGCTATTCCTGGCTGTCAGCTGCGAACCCACTGGTGCAGGTGGCTATGGGGTGAGGGTGACCTTAGCATGGCTGCCCTGCAAAGAACATCTCAATGGTAACCCACCAGTTCCCTGAATATCGGCAGTTTGGTGGAAAGGGGTTACTTTGGCACCCACAGAGCGCAGGTAGCTGCAGCCCACAGAGGAGAGGTGCAGTGCCCAACCAGTCAGGGGACAGCCCAGTTTGGCAGATCCTCTGGGACACCAGGCTCCTCAGAGAACCCAAACCTGAGGGGTTGGTGTTGAACCCACATTATCTCTCTGTGCTCCCACAGCTCCAGTCCCAGCTCCCAGAGTCCCTGCTGCACTTCGCTGAGTGTGTCAGAGAGCTGCTGCTCTTCCTGGTGCGGAGCTGCCTGCTGCCGCTGCTGGAGTGCATGGCTGCAGTGCTGGAGCGGGGTTGGAAGTCCTGTGTCGATTCCTGCAAGTGAGCATCCCTACCTCTCTGCTCCCCTGGGACACCCATGAGGTGGCCAGTATGGTCCCTGCTATGGCAGTAGAGGCTGTCCCAGTCCAGGCAGGGGGTGGTTCCTCATCCAGCTCTGCTGAAGGGTCTGGGATGTGGCAGTGGGTTGTGGGGGTCCTGTACCCATTCTGCGCTCATGACTCTGGGGCTAGGTCACCACTGCTGCCTGTAACCTGTTCTCATTGTTTTTCCAGCGGAGAAGTGTCATGGGACTGCGTGAGGGAACACCTGATGAGCTTTACCTATTCTTCCTGGATTTACCTGCAAAGCACAACAGTAGCCGTCAAAAACTGGGCCTTGGCTATGATTTCTGGATACTGATCCAATACTGGAGGAGCAGGGATATGGTTGTGCTGTCTCCTTGCCACCAAGGAGAACAGATGCACCAAGGAGTATCTCCAGTGCAGCTTGGTTGGCTGTAGGATGGAGACGCCGAGGGCAATGCACGTGTGGGGACTTTGGGCTCAAATCGGGGCTTACACGCGAGGTTTTGGGGTTTGTTTTTTTCCTGGGGCGAGAGACACACATCCAGGTTTTCCACACCCTGTGAATTAGCTCTGGTGTTTTTCCTGTCCCTTTATCTAGGTCTTAACAGGGAAAGTGGCCCCTGTACCCCTGTATTTTGCCTGCACCAAAGGATGGGGTGTGGACACACACAACCCCCCTACACACTATCCACAGGTCAATGAACTGGACTGTTTTCTATATTAGTTTTTTTATTTTCATTTTAATTACTCCGTAGCCGGTTTATTCCCCTCTGGGGCTGCCCCTTCCCTGGCCCTGGGTCCTGGTTGGGACGCTGGCGCAGCAGGGCCGTGGTTCGATGGATGGCTGGTGCCGAGTTCGATCTCCACCTCTGGCAGTTGTGGTGCCTCGGCAGGGTCTGTGTGTGTACACACGTGTTTGTATGGATGTGTGTGTGTATATTTGTATTTATACACGTCTGTATATATTTCTGTGGGAGTGTGTGTATATAGATGTATGCATATGCGTGTGTGCACGCATGTATGCGTATGTATTGGGGGTTGTGCACATGTATATGGGTGTGCCTGTGTGCAACATGTGTTTTCATGTACGGGGGTGTGTATATGTGTGCTATGAATGTAGATACAGATGTGTGGGTAAAGCTGTGTGCATATATGTATATGTGCTTTTATGTATGTGTGTGTAGGTATGTGTTCATATATAGATGTGTGCACGCATGTGTGCCTGTGCATGTGATCTTACGCACCTATGTGCACGTACACATGGTTTTATGTACATGTATGTGTATATGTGGATGTGCGCATACACATGTGTGCTACGCATGTGTGAGCACACGTGTGTGCACGTGTGTGTAAGCATAGATGTGCCCACGGACACCCGGACCCAGGGGCGTGGCTAGTGGTGGGGGTGTGGCTAGCGTGGGGGCGCTGACCAACGAGAGGGCGCGTTGTTTGGGGG